AAATGTTCATATCGCTAGTTCATTTTGACTGAAACACAGGAAAGGAAAAATATCAAACAAGTATATTGTTTATCGCTTACATTAGCACTGATCCATCTGGCACATGTGCTTTTGCTAAGTGATCAAAAACCGAAAAAGTAAAGTTTTCAAATGAATCTGATAGCAACAGGTATAAAGAAAGGAACTGCTTTGACGAAATGCGGGGAAAATAACCCAACACGAAATGCAAGCGTGATACAATAAAGACTGAAAAATGTGGCAAATAATCAAATAACATTGCATCAACGTGATTTGCGAGTAGATGATTTCAACAATAATGAATGCATAGTAACTAGGAGTAATGCAAATACAGTAAACACAAAGTAGCATTTGAAGTGTCTTAAACGGGCTTCAGTTCCAAAAGATATTGTAGAACAAACAAAAATGCCATTTTAGAATGAGATGCGAGCGTTTCCTATAACCTCTGTTAAGTAAAACAATCAGTTCCAGCCCACAAACCACGATCAATCGACCCAGACAATGAATTGCTGCTATTGCCTTACCTTGACCATTATTCGTCGAACTTTAGTCATAATTTGTCAAATGAAAATATCAATAATAATAATAATATTAAAAGTTCAACTCCACAGCGTCTCTCAGCACATCTAAAATAAGTCTGATGGTACGATGTTGAACGCAAATTGTTAAAATAAATGCGGCTTTCGCGATGTCTCGTCTCAACACTAACCGAAAACACGCATTAACAATTATCTGTGCAACTGGGAAAAAAGATGCAGGTCAAAGAGCCCGATGATATGTCGAAATTTTGGAACTAAATCCATTTAAACACATACAGTTGCTTAGATTAGTGGTATCGAACAAACCAAACGCCCAAAACATGCGCCAAGAAAATCACGTTTCACCGTGCTGAATTCAGCAAACGGACACACTGAGTGGGATAATTGAACTTTATATCGGGTTGTGCCACCTGAGCCTACCTTTGAACTTTTGCTATCAGCTAGTGCAGCTCGTTTCTTCGTTGTGACGATGGAGGCTTGATTAATGTCATACGGTTTGTACCGAATATCCGAACCGGCAGAATTTGCGGGACTTTTAACAGTGCTGGGTCGGGACGAAGTCGTATTCACATAGTGAACTTCCGTCATGCTCACGTGATTGCTGTTTGTTGTCAGCTGAGAATTTTGAGTCGAAGGATCTGCACCAAAAACCTTAAAAAAAACAACAGGAAACTAGAGAATTTATCCCCCATGTACAATTAACAACTAAATATAATAAAGCTCCGTTATTTACCTGATGCTTTTGCGGAATGCTCTTGTAACATATCGAACACACTTGGACCATCCCTTGAGGAGAAACCGGACTGGCTCCAAGTGGGGCTTTCAGAGTCTGGATAAATGGAAAATATGGTTCCTGGAATTTAAAAAAATATATTAATCAACAAAAGGATCCGGGCTTGCAGCGGGATTTACCTTCTCGTTATTCGGGCAACTATACAACAGTCTGATGCTAGAAGAAGGGTACTCTAAGGTACAAGTGTAACATATGAAGGTGGTTGCATCTAGGGCAGCTCCTTGCCGTTTTCGTAGAGTGTATTTACGCTCTATGTGTGGAACACCTGGGGAAGAAAACATTGTCAGCATCATATTACTTGGAGGAATCCAGTTACAGTGTGAGTTTTCCGGTTTCTGCACTTTGAAGATCTGCAAAGATCATTGCTTACTTCGTGAAAAATCAGCGCTGACACTAAACATTCAAGTTCATTTCGAGAAAAAATAACAAGTAAATGAAGTAAAATAAATAGTCAAGCTATCGACCAACATGTCTCTCGAGAAAGTACACAATGTTGATTAGAGAACGTTAATTACGGCGATCCGTGATAAGGATAAAGAAATCCGGACATATCCAGTTCAGTAGCATTATGTAGTTGTGTCGTCCGCATTGCAATTACGTAAACCAACGCTACATCACTTGGAAAGAGTGGACTTATCTAACGAGCCGAATAACTGGCCAGATAATTAAATTATTGGGGTAAATAAGGGTTTTTAATAAATATGAGAACATGATTTCAAGTTCATGCAGACTTCGTTTAGGGAAGAATGCCATGGACAATTGTTGTTTTGATATTGCATTGTAATTAAACATTTGTTCGAACGGCAAAGGTAAAAAGTTGGAACGCAGCAATGCAGAGCCTTGTGCGTGCCGCTCTCATAGAATCTGTACAAATCAATTAAAATCCTACTTATGCCATTTGTTGGCCAAAAGTAAGCAATATGTAGTGAAGAATGAGTCCACAAGTTGATTGAATTATATCATTGCTAAACATGTGACATTGATGATGACTGATGACCGATTGATTGCGCTCTTTTCTTACTTGATAATGAGACGAAAAATCCAGATTTTGGCAGTTTTCAACGCTCTCCTGATCGAAGTGTTACAATTTTGTTGAATGCATAGGTGCACATCTCGGTGCTTTAGTCCAGAACAATATAGTGTTGAAAAATAACTTTTTCTCGTGTTTTCTGATTCAAAACATTGGGATACAGAAGGCAAGAGGCCAAACAGGGGTTTCACTGCACTGATTTTCTGGCTTACTATAATGCAAAAATGACCCAGCTAAGATCAATTTCAGTTATTTTGACTCACCCTGGCCCTGAAACGTGATCCACTGCTTCAGCAAATGTTGCTGACAATCCACACAGGCCTGGACTCGGCCCAAAGAGTCAATGGGTCGACTTCTGCTCGGCCTTGGATGCTCGATCAGACTGGGAAAAAATGGCTGCATAGCAGAGTCGGCTACTTGTTTGGAGGCGATAAAATCGAGACTTCCTCGCTTGAATTCATCGCCACAAACGTAACAGACCTGAATAAGATACGGAAGGTTTATTCGCAAATATTGAATTGACCATTTGCTTACTCACCTCCGTTACTGAGTTTTTATCTGGCATGCTAAGATCCAAAATGTCGGTACCAGTTGAGGAGTTTGAGTTCTGGTTGTACAATATGGGTGGGACTGAGACGGATTGCACTGGTGCTGATACAGACTGTTGCGATGAATGAGTGAGATCCAACGCGCCTTCTGGTACCATTTCGTCTCGATCCAATCCGGTCGACGCAACCTGAAAGAAAAACGGTAGTTTTTGAAGGCAATTGAGGCTTTCTCGGGCAAAAATACAAAAACTCTAATAGGAAAGTCTGCGCTATTCGCATGAGATGCATCACTTTTATTGCTCGTTATCAGTCAACAGTCAACAAAACCATTCACCGGCTCTAACTGGATGTTTCCTGCTACACTTTTGACATGCCATTTAGAGAATTTGTTTATTTAATACCGTGTATGGGCTTTTTATCGAGCCCCAAGATTAAAGGTTGTGCCGGACCATTAACTCAGTCGACCGGTCCCAGTTATATTCCATGCTGTTTTGCAACATTCGGTTTATCATTGTTTATAAACAGGGTCTGGATAAGTGATGGCTTATTTATAGTAAAACCCCACATTTTCTTGATTATGCAAACGTTTAAAAAATTTATTCACTAATCGGAAACGTGTTTTTTTCACCATTTTTGTGCTTGTTATCCACTGCGAAGCCAACATTGCCGTAACTTTAAAAAGTAATCGTGTGATTAATCGTTAAGCTTAAATACTCTAATAAAGGCACACATTTGAACTTCCAGCTAATACAATCCGACTCTTTTATTATTTTATCGCAATTGTATAATAAACAACTGCTTACGATTCTGCCCCTCGTCCTAGTGGCTTAATCGATGAATCACTGAATAGTTAACAATTCTAATTCCAAATATTAAATTGAACTTCAAACCACGCGTCTGCTAGAACCGCATCAATCAAAGCAATCAACGAAATGCCTCTCCTGGAGTCATTTTTTCAACACCTCAAATCCACTATTGGTACCCAAGTGTCTATTGCGTACTCACCTTAACACTTGCCGCAACTATTCAGCGAATGGGAATTTCAATTGCAAATTCGACAAGGTGTTTTGCCTGAAATAACTACCGATGTTTTGACTGGTCTCGATATAGTCAATCGAAAACAGCTACCTACACTTTTTTTAGTTTCAATTAGCGGACAAGTGGTTTGAAACCGAGTGTGCAATTAAAACTATCGCTAACTTACGCCGCTTATCGGTAGCATGGTAATCCTGGCTGTTTTCGGTGCCATCACATGAAACCTGTTTTTACTCACACGAAAATCCGCCGATAACTGCACAAACGACACACCCCCAAAATATTGCGAGATCTTCTACACATGACCTACTCTCTCCTACGCGGTTTAGACGACTTCGTTAGCGAAAAGCGCCCGAAAAACCGTTTCAAAACGCACAATTTTATCGTTGCTGAACGTTTCCTTGAGCTCGGCATTTTAACACTGTTTCACCGTGATAGTAGAAAGAGGTGTGACACTTTTAAGGAACTAAAACAAATCGATGCGTTCGCAAATTCAAAAAGCCCCAAGGTAGTAAGATGAAGATGCTGCCTACCCAATTTCACCGGTTTCCCTTGATGATTTGATAGAAAAACACGGCTTTTGCGCGAATATAAGCATTTTTGTATAACTGAATGCAATTCCAAAACAGGTTTTGTGTTAATGGAAAAATCCACTAGATCCACAGCCTTGAACGTTATTGCTTGATTTCTTTTCAATCCATCTAAGTATTACATGACGCAATTGAATTTTTCCAAAGTACCTATCGTGAGTTAAAAGGAAAGGACCAACTTTAGGGATTTTCCTGCCCATCTTGGCAACATGACAATGCGTACCTGATCGCAGTACCGTACGACTGAGTGACGTCAGCAAGTCCACCAAGAGTGCGTATTCCCAATAAAAGATAGAGAAATCGCGTTTCCTTTTAGCTATCGCCTAACGCTTCCCTTTTGCTTGACACGTCGTTGAAAACTAGTCTCGATCGTGTCAGGCGGTCGCTTACGCTACTCGGTTAAGATAAATGAAAGTGCGTCTCAGTAACTTCAATCGCGCAACGATATTACAATGAACGAGTAACTGAACTCACCTAAAGCTAACCGATGAAAGCAACTCTGCTAGCTTTTTTATTTCCAACCGTTCTGACTAAGTGACTTGTTTAGGGTTCTATTTATACGCCACTTTTCATATTTTTAGACTTCAACCGTCAGAACATGCTGTTTTTCGAAAATCGATGTAAAACATTATCGCACATTTGAACGGTCGCCGGTACTTACATTTCACGCTTTCTTCGACAAAACGGAGGCATTTTGAGCGCGAGCATAAACTTATATAGAAACAGGCTTACCGGAGCTGAAACTGGTCTAGGAGACACTCGGATCCTAGTGGAGTCTTCGCGGCCGACAGTCTTGGAGGTTTGGGAGGCAACCGGAACAATGCCCCCTTCCGTATTCAATCCGAGCATTTGAGCCGCGTACTCTCCCTGCATGTTCATATCCGCGCCTGTATAAGGGCCATTATCCACCCGTTTCAGCCAATAGAGCCGCTCCGAATGAGGCTTGGCTGTCTGTTCATATTGGTCCCATTGTTGCATGAGCAGTTGATAGCACAGGCTACAAGCCGCGTAGATGGACGGGTCCGATTTACCTGGAAAAAAAAGCCTTATAAGATGTTTGCCCGAACCATCAGCATTTTACCATACAGAGTTAAAGAGCATGTTAGAATAATGTCCCTGCATGACAAAAATTACCTAAACCGCATCGCTTCAGAGGGTTGAATTTGATTTTTTTCTCTAGTAGTACACATTAAGATGGTCTTCCAACTTACCCCAGAATTTTGGATAGCCTTTAGGAGGCTCGTGACTATCCAAAAATGGAAAGTACGGATCGCGAGTCGATCGGTCCGATCTAGGTTTGGAGCTCAGAGGGTACGACCTGGGGTGGCCCCTGTTGCCACAAACAAAGCAGATCTCCAAAGGCGGAGGCTCCGCCGATTTCACTCCACTAGGTGCGGCCGTTTCCACATTTTGAATGGTCATCGGTGACTCTCTTTGCTTCGTTTGTGTCGTTAATTGATGAGGAGGTTTCTCCATAGTCTGCATTTTACAGTCTGGAACAAATAAGAAAAAAATTGCATATAATACTTCAGATCATAAGAAGTTACTAGTGCCCTCCCAGGCAAAAAATTTAGTGCAATTGTGCTGACGTTCTCTGCCTTTTTGCTTTCGCTCCGTTTGTAATTAATAAATTGCTGCATTCCCGATATACAAATTGATCGGATCGTTACGAAAAAAATAGCTTCATGAAAAACCCTAAAGAGCCTTAAAATCGAAACACCTTAATACCTACATAAATACCGCAATATTTGCATTCTGAAACTTTAAATACTCGCATTAGTACCGTCCAACATTGTAAACCTAGACCTCCAAGGAACAATGAACAACGTCAACAAAACAACAGTCTGAGCAAATCCCTTAATGTTCCGAGTCTCGGAAATTTCCCATTATATGTAAGTACACAAAAAGATTAAAATCGATTTAAGCCCACCGCATGATCTCTCAAAGTTCAAGATTGAAATGTGAATAAAGAAAGTGCTGGCTTTCGAAAGGCACCTCCGGAGGCCGCCTGAAAGACAGAATGAAAGCGAAATTTTCCAACCAGATATCGGTATTATGTACAAATCAATTTGTTTGTATTAAAATGGCAACTGATAACCTTTAAGGCCGGAGACCTCGATCTTTACCACTTGCCACTGGCCCATAAATAATATTTCCATAAATTTGTAAACAAAAATGCTCCTGTATAAAAATAGTACTATCTAAATTTACAATTTCCAACCTACTAAATTATCGTTCAACATCCAACAGTGTTGCTTTCAATCAACATTTAAGTGTGAACCAATTGCAACTTTAACAGGTGATGCCATCAAAAATTACTTGCGGATATCGCTAATGCCCCGAAGAATCCACACATAAACTTTACAGCTGCCTGCTGGTTTTTACGAAACAGTTTTCAGTATTAAAACACACTTTTTACATTAAAAGCAATTTGAAAGCTCGAAATTTTGCATTTATCAATGCTATCGATCTAACTGCTGCTTTCCGAATTTTCAACCAGCTTAACCTGTGCTCTTTGCCAACAACACAACATCCTTAATCCAAACTATAAGTCTCATAAACACGGGGAAACTTTGAAAATATAGCAACAGTCACCTTAGGTAGGTAAGTGCTGCGTTCCAAATATTCAATTTGAACGATCCTCAATTTTTTAGTACAAATTGATGCGCCTACAACCTTGAAGAAGATCAATCAAATGAATTAATCAAACGCGTTTGGTCAGTAGAGGTACTTAAATCAGTGAAATATCTAACTAAAAATAGCACTGATAGCGAACAAAGTTGCCTATCTCCAATCTAATTGATATTAAGATTCTCATTTAATACGAATGTGTTTGAACTTTTCCTTACCAAAATAGTTAGACGCGTCATGTTGAACAGAGCAACTAAGTACATATAACATTATTATAAGTTGATTTAAGGCGGCCTAGTACAAACAAAACTCTAGATATTAATAGGACGAATGTTGACCTTTGCTTGGTTGTATTGGTCGGAAATGATTACACCAGGTAGGTAAATTATCAAGAGTCTTATCAATAATTTATCCCAGCAAAAGAAAGTTGCCTTATTGCCACCAAATGGAGATAAACAACTGGTCTCGGCTGTTAGGGCGCGGGGAAATACCTAAGAGAACAGACTCATGGGAATTAATTGATTAAGGAGAAGAAACCATCGGTGGAGACTCCTTTCTAGTAACATTTTTTACTAGAATATGTTTTTTTTTCGCTGACCGAAACCCTTACATACTGGGTGATACATACTGTCCCCTTCTTCCCATTGGTTTCCACATCTAGTTTACTCCACCAAGAACGTAAACTTCAGGCATTACTTTTGAGTTTTGAAGAGCATATTGAAAAATCTAACCACAAATACGCTGTTATGTTGACATGTCCCAGTAACCCCTTAAAAGGATATATGCCAATGTTGAAGCAACCGGAGAAAACCCTTAAAGAAGTGGACGAGAATTTAAAAAAAATGTTCACGCTGGATGAAAAATGAAGTAAACACGTTAATTAAGTGGGAATTTGCAACCATATTAAAAATAACCTGCTGATAAAATAGGTAAGAGCAATTCGTCAACAAGTGGTAGTCAAGTGTAATCAAATACCTATCACCAACTGGGAATGGTCTTATTAGGGTCAACTGTTTCGAAGTAACAATTGTGTAAAGGGCTTCTTCAATCACCTTCTAATGGTGTTTCCTCTTTTCGCATAGTACCTACAAGTCGAAAATCGTTCCTGACCCAGTTGCCTACTAGTAGCAGTGCTTAAGACAACTCCAGGGCTGATAACCAGCCTTTTTTGTTAAGTTAATTGACGCCACTAAACTGTAGGGTTCTGTATGGTTTTGCTAAAGGAACAGGATACGATCGTCGTCTAGATGTAAAAGGCGAACAGCTGTTTTCAGGATTCAACGCCGGCAATGCGGGTACACTAAATTAGGACCGAAAAACTGGCTAATTAAACGAAAAGGTGGCAAGGTTAATGATGGCCTGATTGCGAAACGTCCCCATTTAGACTACCCGACTTGGTTAACAGCGAAATTTTCAGTTTTTATTTCGAAATAACCAGAGTGCGCCATAGACGACACGCAGTTGGGAAAGGATTCGTGATAAGGCGTGTTAAAACAACAAATTCCATGGATAGTTTAGGTACTTACGTTCCTCCGGCTTCCTCCCTCCTGGTGCCACTCAAACCACCCGCTTCCACTTAGCACTTTTATCAAAATACATACATAACTAGTAAAATCGTACTCCTATGTACAAGACACTAAGAACTAACATTGCACTTTGAGACCTATTAACGAAGCAGAAACCGCCCGAAAATACCACGCGCCCGTTTCGTTTAGACCTGAAATCAGTTCTACGCGTGAAAAACCGAAGAAAATGGAAAATTAAAGGGAAAACATTATTTCTGACCGTCGCTGATCATACTTGGTCATCGCGAACAGCCATCTTTAATTCATTTCCAACAATGCAATGCGCCAGTCCGTAAATACCAACACAACGAACTGAAATCCCAATATCCCCTAAACATTAATAAAACACCTCATTCATGTATAGGCAACTAAATGCGCCATACTGTTTTGCTGGTTGCTGCATTGTGGCGGGGTATTTTCTAGCGATGGGCACTATCGAATAGTGATGGGCATTATCGAATGATTTGGACAATCGAACTATGATGGGCACTATCCAATAATTACAAAATGAATAATTGCAACTATCAAATTCATACGATGAATTTATTTATTGAAGTATAGAAAAGTTACAAATTATAATCTTTTGAAAATCGAATAATCGTAGGAACCGACGATTCGAAAAATTTAGACAATAATATTTTTGAATAATAATATTGCAATGTTTGACTTTTAAATATATACATATTTTCGTTTTATTTAAATTAAACATCAATTATAAATTTAATTTTTGTATTGTTTGTATTTACTGTTTTTCTTGAAATAAAATAGTTAAAACTGCAAATATTTAATACTATGACTGGAGTACTGATTCATAATGAAAATATAGCACGTTTTTAATAAATTAATTTAAAAAAACCAAATTTTTTAAATATTAATTTTGAATGTCTGAAAAAAAACAGAAATTTATTTTTTTTTAATTTTAATTCGTTCATTTCAACCAAATTATAGCTATCCTATTATCCCGAAAATTAGAAAACAAATGAATAATACACTGCTATCAAATAATTCGATAGTTCCCATCACTGAATGAAACATCACTATCGAATTATTCGAAAAAATTGCAACCTTCGAATAATTCCATAGTTTAGATTAGACATTGGATTCGATAGTTCCCATCACTAGTATTTTCACTTATTAATGTACAAGATGCTTCCAAATTTAGTTTCGGGATTTTACAGGCGTTTTGAGGTTAAAATAACTAAAATTTTTCGCATTAAAATGCGACTTTTTCAAATACCCGAAAAAAGCACTGTGTGCTATATTGTTCAAATTGTTGTTTATTTGACTATTTTCACGCATTTGTTTTTCAGTGTTTTTGTTATTTCGTTAAATTGTGTATTACTGTTTAAGTATGTACACGTTTGATTTCAAACGGATGTAATAAATGTGTTTTGGAAAACGTTTATATTGTTTCATTTTGTTTCACGAGACGTTTTACGAAACTTAATTTAAAAAAATTGTCAAAAATCGGGGAAAACATTGAGTAAATCTACACTCAAAGAAATGGTAGAGCAAAAATGTATCTATTAAATAACAGCAAAAGCAGTATTCAAACTGATCCTCAATCGAATTGAAGAATTTTTGAAAAAATAGCCAAAAATCGACGAAAACTTCTAAAATCAACACTCAGAGGACTCATACAGCAAAAATTCCTTTATTAAATGATCGCAAAAGCAGCCTTCAAACATCGTCAAAATTGATCCTCAATTGGATTGAAGAACTTTTGAAAAACCAGTTCAAATTCAAAAAATTGTCGCAAATGAAGAAAAACATTGAATAAATTGAGACTCAAAAAAGTCAAAGAGCAAAAATTCCTCTGTTGAATAACCGCAAAAACAGCCTTCAAACTGGGCCTCAATCGGATTGAAAAACTTTTTAAAACCAGTTCAAATTTTAAAAAATGTCACAAATAAAAAAATGAGTAAATCGACACTCAAAAGACTCAAAGAGCACTGTATTCATCATTGCACAGTTAGCAAACAAGAAATAACCCCAAAAATTACCCCAAAAATTTGGGCAATCCGCAATAAATCGTACGATTGATCGATCGCAGGACTACGCTTACGTTGATGCTTGGTGACCCTAAATAATTGGCCCAATTTACTGGCCAATAAATCGAACATTGGGTAGAGTAATACCGACATAGGGGTTTTTATCCAAATCCCTTATGTTGGGATCGTAATAGAATTTATACATCGACGAAGAAGAATAACATACATACGATAGACAAAAGATGTCTGCTCGAAATGTGACCGTCTGCGACCCGACAAAGGGGAATATTTACCCCGCAACAAGACAAAGGGTTGCAAAATTCGAAAACACTTCCCCTTGAGTCGCCGTTTGGAAAGCGCAACACTCGGTTTATAGGCAAATATAAAACGTGAGAGGCGGGAGTTGCCAGAAGCCATCCAGTCGCTTCTTCTCATGGATGAACCGATTGGGAGTGAGTTGGGACGTAGGTCTTTTGATCCAGAGCCACTGTTGCCACTATAGGCCCAATTTTCTTGGCCCGTACTCCGACATTTTTCTCCGGTCCAGTTGAGTGAGTGAGTGAGTTTGAGGAAAGTTGCTCATTAACCGTCTGGCATGTGCACATTTTTTTAACGCGTGCAGGTTCATCCAAAAGCACTTTTTCTGGTGAATTTCGCCAGAAACTCCTTGGCGCGACAGTTTGTCTGTTGTGGCCTATCGAAGTATTTCCGGTATTACTTGGCAACGCTGGTCGCGCGAAACAAAACACTAGCTCACGATCACTTTGGCTCGCTCGATCAAAACCTCGCGATCCGTCGCATAGTATGGAAGTGTTTTGCGCGCTGAAAATTTCGATTTGTCGCCGATTTTTTCGAAAATCTCCCCAGTTCTAACCGGAATACAGACTTTTTCTGACTTAGACTCGCCTCTTTCACCGCGTTTTCACATCGACATTGACTGAAAAACCCGACAAAATGTGGTGTCTTATCAGCCAAGCCAACTCTGTGGTGCTTGAAGTTAGGGTTGATCTCAAGTCCATTGGACAAGAATGCCTAGAGAAGGTAAGCTAAAAAAAAACAATTAGAGCTTGTGACTGATTTGATTTTGTTTGATGTCAGTCGCCGCATTGTCTTTTGCTGTGTTCTGTTAGTTCACTGTACAGCAGGTTTTGTTAGCACAAGCCTCATTCAGCCAATGATCAAATTAGATTCAAATATAAAAATTGGAGAAAATGTGGCTTTCTCGTGCTGACAGGGGCAGGAGTGGAAGAAATTCTAGAAAAACAATTGCCTGACAGGGGTAGCTACCCTAAACAAAGCCTACTAGTTGTTGCCTGCTCTCATCCAGGCTGAAGAACATTTTCGAAATTTTCAAAAATACCTCCAAACTTGGTATAAGGAATGGGCTGGTGCATGATCCGTCTGAAGCACGTTTCACGCCGGTCCAAAGTCCAATTTCTACAGGTAGTCCAAAGTCCGATGTTCAAGTATTTTGTCGCAATTGTTTAACGGTGATAAAGTTGCTAGATCCACATCCTTGTGGAGAATGTTAAAAATAGCCGGGCGTTAATGTAGAATCAGTTTTACCATGCAGTACTTTTTTGCATTGTTGAAGAACAAAAAGCAAAAAATTATGCATGTGACTGTTCAGATATAATTTCCACATCATATGAATAGATTTGCACAGTAAACCTTTGCTTTACTCATAGAAATGCATTCAAGTGCAGAAACTTGTTTTGATATCAACTATGTAATAAAAATCAACATTTTCATCTGCATATACAGGAGGGCTCTATTTTTCTGGCATGTTCGGCATCAAATAGTAGAAAATTTCACAACAAATTATGTCCGTAAACGCATAATTTTTTCTTTGGTTTTTCCGCTCTAACTCGGCAAAATAGAAGACAACAAGGAATGTAAAAAAATCGATAGACTCGTGGCGCACGACAAAAGAAGTAAGTGGTAAATGGGGACTCTGTATGATTATTTGCCCAACCACTAGGCCGAAATAAACTAAAATTTGCAATGAATGTTACGTTAAGCCTTTCCTTTCCATCCCCATGTCTACCCGGGATGTTCAAGAATGAGCAATAAAGAAAGACGGGGCAACAAGGTGCCAACCGCGCCAATCAACCAAAAATAAACCATTTGGCTGAATGAATCGAAATTCACACTGGGATTTAAGCTTTTAAGGTTCTTTCGATTGTTGAAGCCTGCATCCCCAGGCCTGCTCTGGATGTTCCGAAATAAGCAATTATAAAAGAGGGGACAAAAACGGACAAACAGTGCAAACCTTCGCAAGTTTCCTAAATACATAAAAAATAACCACTAGGCTTAAGGGACCCAAATTTACCCTGCAAGTTAAGTGAAGGTTTGTTTTTCGACTGTTGAAGCCAGCATTCTCATGTCTACCCTGGGTGTTAAGAAATGAGCAATAAATAATGACGGGGTAAAAGCGGGCAAACGACTTAATTATTCGAAACATTACTAAATTCATAAAAAATAACTCATTTGGCTGAACAAGACCAAATTCACACTGTGACTTAAGTGAAGATTCTTCCTTCCCTTGTTGAAGACCGCATCCAAATGCACACCCGGGTTCAGAAATGAGCAATAAAGGAAGACGAGGCAAAAGTGGACCAACGACGCAAGCCTTCGGAAGATCCCTAAATTAATAAAAAATAAACCATTTGGCTGAATGAATGCAAATTCACCCTGGCATTTAAGAGAAGGTTCTTCTTTCGATTGTTGAAGCTTGCATCCCCAGTATAGCATATAAGCAATTTAACCCCAAATAAGCAATTATAAAAGTGGGAACAAAAACGGAGAAACGGTACAAACCTTTGCAAGTTTCCTAAGTGAATAAAAAATAAACCACTAGGCTAAAGTTAACCAAATTCACACTGCAAGTTAAGTGAAGCCTCTGCTGTCGATTATTGAATGCCAAGATCAACCCTGGATGTTGAGGAAATTGCAAGAATGGAAAACATTGCCACATACTTGAGTTCCGCCATTGGCTGTCACAGTTACACGGAATATGTATTCATAGGTAAAGCTCTTAAGATCCTTTATTATCGTTTTTAAATTATGTTTTTGCAAATTTCTCGCAACAGTATATTTGAAAATTGATTAAAACGAATCGTTGATCGATCAGAAAACCGCGTTCTTTTCCGTCAATTTAATCAGCAGAAGAGCGCTGAAGTTGCCAAGTTTCGAGGAAATGAAAATTTTCCATTAAAACATCAAAATTGAAATTGTGCCAACAGTCCGCAAGAAGCTCTATCTAATTTAATATGAGCTTTTGAGAAAATTTTATTTTAATAGCCG